CGGTGATCCATCAACAAGATTTTTTTGAGTGTCCGGAGGAAAGATGGGGCTAAAAGAGCCCATCATGTCTTCAATAATTCCATATTAGTCTGTCAAATCTATGAAATTGCTCATAAGCCACTTAAGTCTTTAAGGCCACATTCAATTTTTTTTTTATTATCTTAGGACAGGACAGGTTGCTACGATCTTTGGACTATAGTCCAAACGCCAGATCATTGCTTGCTTTCGAGGGGATTACGATCCCTGGACTAATGTCACAATTAGAATGACAATTTTGCCCTTTAGTCAAGTGTTGTTGTATTACATTACATCACAACTAATAATTCTTTCACCACATCTTTTGCAGACGCTAGTCTACCTATGCTATTTCCGTAGATAATTTTATTTTGATGAGAAATATGCATAAGAATGCAGCTAATAACACATACAAAAAAAATGCAATGGTAGTAATTAAGTTTGCATAACATGTCTCACTAATTCACATTCTCCAAAATATATAATCAGTAAACAACCTTTTTTTTTCTTTTTCTGGATATAGAACTCGGACCCAAAAGCTTGGGAGCCATATTGAAAACTCCCAACCATCCGAGTCGCTCACAGTTACTCAATAAATAACTTAATTACATTCAGGAAAGGCTTCTGCATTATGTCTTCATTGTCATCCGATTTTCCAAGCAAACATGATATAATTATTCCTTGTCTAATACCATACCCCTCCTGTAGTACATATCCTTAGGGTGTGTTTGTGTGACGCCCCTGGGTTCACTCAATGCTGCAGTCCAAGGTGAAACCAAGAATATCAAACCTGCTATGCACCACACCGTGCAACAACAAGTTTCACCATCACAATTAACATCTATCTAGTAGAATCAATAACAGGTGTAGGTACAAAAGCAAGTAAAAGATAATACACGAAGGGCTGATGAAATGATAGTGATCAAGTAAATATCTCATCATCCAACAAATGAAAATACATAGTCAATGTCTGAATAAATAAACTGGAGTGGTCAACAAGTCTCAAATCCAAATATCTGACAAGAAGGAAATAAGGCATACAGCCTTTACAACTTCTAAAACAATACTCTCAAATGTCTAACAAAATCTATAGTGGAGCTCCAACATAAACATAACAGACAGCTAAACACTAAAGTGTGTCGCCATCAACCTGCGACTCTCCGGGCTCCTGGCTCGTGACCTGAAAGGGGGAGGGACAACGAGCGTCAAAGCGCTAGCGAGAAACATCACAACCAACCCCAAGGGAGAGGGCTTGTTGTATAAGAAAATACAGTTATCACAAAACATATACATATATATAAGCAATTATCCTAAAAATAAACAATGGGCTTTAGTACTTAGGAAGTTTCAACACGGGCATAGGTACGTCGAGCGAAATAATCCAAACAAGGAAACCCTCATGTATATACCTTATATCCCAAATTGAAAATCCCTAAGTACCAAACCCGGAGTCTAATACGTGAACAGAAATAAATAAAAGGGAAGACAACCCATCTCAGAACATAAATAGAGTATCATGTGGTGTCCCACGTCATAAAATATCATGTCGTATTCTACATAAGTGTCATACCCAGTCTAGGTAGCTATCATGTCTTAACGGTATCAAAATGTCGTGTTCCAAAACTCAAATGTGTACCATGCTCAAGGTTCGGCAAAAATGTCCAACACATGGACTAAAAGTGATGCAGGTCCAACACATGGACTGAATAGAATACATGTCCAACACATGGACCAAGATGGTAAGTATCCAACACATGGATCAAAATAATGTATTGTCCAACACGTAGACTATAAATGAAGGAAATGTAATTATCACTAGCATACATGGAAAAATACACCAAATCTAAACCCGCACGCATCCCGATGTACATGTCTAAACTTATGTCAAAAGTCAACCCACATGTACAGATAAATCATTAACATAATAAGCTAGGGTCAGGTTATCGAGGCGACCCCGAAAGACAACTCAAACAGATCAAGAATCTGTAAAACAGCTCATCAGTCGACTGATGTGTCGACTGATGACGTCAGTCGACTCATATGTCGACTGATGAAGTTCAGGCAGTATAGCCTCAGCTCACCAGTCGACTGACCAGTCGACCGAGAAGCTGAGAAAACACAACCAGCCCGTCAGTCGACTGATCAGTCGACTGATGACTGGAAATTTTGCCCGTCGGTCGACTGATCAGTCGACCGATGGCCTGCAGAAACTCTGCTCAGGTTGTTATTCAACTCAAAATTTATCTAAACACATCCCCATCAATTCCAAGCATGAACCATACGTATATTAACATGTATGGACTAACTGAAACATAACTTTCATGTACAAATACATAAATAAAACTCTAAACATATGTATTTATGCTTTAAAAACACTTTTCAAAACAAAACCCATGTTAAATCTCTTATAAAACATTTCAGATCTGGATTTTAAATTTACCAAACATTAGTAGGTTATTTATCAAACTGAAAATGCACATCTTCATGTTATATGCAATAAAAATCCAATCTTTGTACACAAAATACGTTTTAGGCCAAAGAGATCTCAATAAAACCATTTGAAAAAACGTTTAAAAAAAATGGGACAAGGTTGGGCGAGATGTTACTCGCCTCTGAGGTGATGAATAGCTCCTGGATCTGAGGGGGAGTGATTCCTTTCGCTGCAAACTGAAAATCCCGACGAAAATCCTCCAATTTCGCCCCAAAATCACCAAGAACTACCCTAGGGTTTGAGAGAGGGGAGAGGGGGCTAGGGTTTCTCTGATCTGAGCATGAGTGGGGATGTTTTCGGGTGAAGAATGATATATACAAACAGCTAAACCCGACCCAAACCCGAACCAAAACAAAACAGACCCGAAACCTGTACAAACTGAAAATCAGCGTATCGGTCGACTGATGTGTCGACCGACACTGTCAGTCGACTGATGTGTCGACTGAACTGGGAAATTCCAGTTTTTGTGCATGATTTGTTAATTTGCAAAATTCAACGCACAAAGCTCTACACCCATACTCTCATATCATCTCAAATAACTTGTTATCATGTACATCAAAGACCTCAAGCTATTTATCATACAAGGATTATTTATTTACTAATGATTCACATATATTCATATAAAAATTACGGGGTTCTACAGTTTGGCAACGCCACAAGACTAGTTTTAATGAGTACAATCTTTGTCCAAGAGCTATTTTTTAGTTTGACAATAACTGGGTCACAACGGATCTAACTTTCTTTAGTTTAAAATTTAGCCTCTAAACCAGTTCTCTTTTGGACCACTTTCTATATGGTTCAACCTCCATCTTAGTTAAGTAAAAACTAGTTCAAGCTGAATTATCTTCTGGAATTGTCAAACACACCCTTACAGTAATTTTACCTACTTATTAGAACATTGACCAGTAAGCTCTAGCCATATTTGTTGGATTTTATTATGTTCTAAATGAGGAAGGTTATATTTCTTATAAGGTGCTTGGAGAGGCTTATTTTTTGGTCAAACTAACTTTTAAGCTAGCTTTTTTTAATATATATTTGTTTGGTATAATACCAAATAAATTAGCTTATAAGTCTCATTTTTAAAAGCTGGTACACCCTAGCTTTTGAAAAACAAGCTTATAAGCTCACCCAAACAAGCTAGATTTGATCAAACAAATTACTATTTTATCCAAACAATGTTTAACCAAATTTTATTATAAAAGTCAAAAGCCATCAAAAGCTAATTAACACATCTTAAAAGCTTGAAAAAACAAGCCTCCCCAAACACTCTCTTAATCTTATCTTATCTCTTCACATGCAATTAATTTATTCTTTTAAGAATGGTTATAACAATCTGTCATTTCCTCTTGGACAAAGCATCTATTTTTCTACATTTTCCCAATAATATTACCGAAAAAAGAAGACCACCATAGAGGAAGGTTGGAAAAAAAAAATGATCCAAACAAAAATTCTGGCGAAAACAATAAAAATAAGGAGTATTTTAGTCCCAAAACCTTAATCCCTTCTAATAATTAATACGCGGTTTGTAAATGTGGAGGTGGACTGGGTTTCATTTATTCCGCTTCGTGGAGATTACCTAGTCCCTCCTTGAAAATAGTCTGGACCGTACAAAAACAAAAACAAAAATAAATATGGAATAAAATGGTGGATCCGGACTATTTTAAAATAGTATCCGGACTATGTCTTACAAATTAGTCTCTCAACGACGAGCTACCTCAGGTGGTCTGTCCCCCCAAAAGCCTTGCGTTCACAAAAACATAATCTGGCGGGCATGAGCCAATGTGAAATACCTCTTAAGATTTGAGGGGCTCATGAGAAAATTTCAAACCTTTGTGGAGCTAAATATGGAATTATTGAAGATATGAGGGGCTAATATCTGAAAGAACTCAAAAGAGATGTCGGAGAAAACTCCAAAATCAAGGGGGTTTTGTGAAGTTAAAAAAAAAAAAAAAATAGTCGATTCCTTCCTTGCTTTCCTCCTCCTTCCGTCCTCTGTCTCCGTTCTCATCACTACTCAAAGTATCAAATTCCCCCAAAAACTTAGCCTCAAATAATAATAAAAAAAAGCCACAATCAACCAAAAATTCAACATTCAAATGGGGATTGCACACCAATAGGCAACTTTTGCCTCGGGTTCGCGTCCGCCGGGGGCCGCATACGGCGGTGTGCTGCAACTCCAGTCCCCAGCTCCGACGCCGACATCGCCGGCGAACCCGATCCCCAGCAACGTTCCACCTCCTCCCGGCACGCAGTCGGCTCCCCTCCGTCGCCCGCCGCCAACCTAACCCTTCTGCTACTCCTCCTAACCCCAACGGGCCGGCCACTACCCCTGATTCCCCCAATCGCCAAACCAAGACGCGTCTTTGATCGAGACCGTACTGGCCCAGTCAAACCTACCTTCACCGCTCTTCGCCGTTCTTGATGGCCAACGGCCCAGTTCTGGAGCGAATGCGCGAGTTTCGTCAAGGGAGCCCTAAGCTCGGAGTCCTGTCGAATGATCCAAGCATTAGCGCCGACAACCCTAGAAAGTCGTTCGTTCGAGGCGTTTCGAGGGCCGCCAAAACCCCTCCTCCGCTCCTCCGACATCGACGACTTCATGTCCGGCACCACCGCCGGTCGCGCGTCCTCGTCTGCCGGCGCCTCCTCTACAGTCTGCCAATGTGGGAGACTCGAGAGCCGTCGCCGGAGTCCGGAACGCGGAGCGAAACTGCGTGCTCGCCGAGGACCTGTCCTCTGACCAGACGCCGTTTAGAAAAGACGAGTACGAGAGGGTCCGGGGGTGTGGGGCCCGGGTGCTGAGCGTGGACCAGGTGGAGGGGGTGAAGGACCCAGAGGTGCAGAGCTGGGGGGCGGAGGAGGACGACGAGGGGGATCCGCCGAGGCTTTGGGTGCAGAGCGGGTTGTACCCGGGGACGGCGTTTACGAGGAGCGTTGGTGCGGTGCCGGAGGTGAAGGAGGTTAAGATTACGCCGGAGCATCTGTTTTTCGTGGTGGCTAGTGATGGGGTGTACGAGTTCTTGTCGAGCCAGACCGTGGTTAATATGGTGAGCTGTTTAATATTGTGTTTAATTTTGATTTTCGTGATTAATTTGGATTACAGACGTAGACATACAAGAAGTTTTTGGGAAGTAACGTGGGAGATGAGTCTTGATAAAATTGAATGGAAGAATATCTACCCTGAAAATTTCGGCCTTTGTTTTTTGTTGTTGATGTGAACACAATTGAGATGTTTTTGTTCCCAAAGGATTTAGTTTCACTAGGTTTATGCAGAGTTGCATTAGCACAATATTATATTTTTGCTAAAGTTTTCTTTTCGCTACAAATATTTCTAGTTGGGTCATATTCTTTATAGGCCAACCTTTAAGCTTATATTATGGTGACAATGATGATGATGGGCACCATATCATCTTTCCAATATGAGGACCAACTTTCTTGGCGCTAACTACTATAGTCTTATTTGTATATAATTAGTTTACTTTTTAGTAGAACTAGTCCTATTCTTTGGGCATAATGTCAGGGTATAGAAAGAGAGTCTGTGGTGCTTTGGCGATGGAAAAGTCGTAAGAGGGCATAGAATTTCTAAGCTTGTCGCTTTACACATGCTTACTATATAAGCTTTTTTTAGATGTCTGGTGATTGGTAGTTGCAAGAGATATTTAGGATGATGCATCAAGCAACAGGGAAAAGAGTTACTTTATGGTTTTTGTGGTGAACATTGATGGGGTATCTTAGTTCTTGCTGATATGGTGAGAAATAATTCATGGTTGGTTTTGTCACGCCCGGTCCCTGAGCCCATTGGCGCGTGCAAGCCTTGGAACCCAGCGAGAGCAACTCGATGTTGGCTAAAGTTTACTGTCAAAATGCTAGCACTAGTTGTTCTTAGGCCTTGGGCTTTTCTCTATTTCAACCACTAACAATTCTTCATACTAGTCCACGTGAGACTAAAATGGAGGTGTTACAATCACCTCACCTTACAAAGACGACCTCCTCGTCGTTACGACATGATAATTAGCACATCCCAGTGTCACTTGCTAGACGATGTGGACTCTAGAGGTGTCTCCTACGGGCTCTGGCTCCCACCCGGCTCTGATACCATTTGTCACACCTGGGCCCTGGGCCCGTTGGCGTGTGTAAGCCATGGAACCCAACAAAAGTAACTTGATGTTGGGTAAAGTCTACTGTCAAAATGCTAGCACTAGTTGTTCATGGGCCTTGGGCTTTTTTTCTATTTAAACCACTAACAATTCTTCACACTAGTCCATATGGGACTAAAGTGGGGGTGTCACAGGTTTTATATTATTCATTTTGTAGATTTATTCTGGTTGCTCTTTTTAAGTGAAAAAACAGAGAGATGGCAATTTAATGCATGTCTGGCTGATGGATAGTTTGCGGATGATCATTTCGTCAACTTTGGCTATAACTGAAAAGAAAAAAAGGTCCTTCATCTGCCCTCACGGATATTACGTTACAGTATATAAAATTTTGCAATAGTGCTACTAGATAAGATTAAAAGCTTTGAGTTTTATGTGGTTTCATTTTGAATGAATTTGAGGAGTTTAGTTGTACCATAGCACATAAGCACTATCGAATCATAAACTTACGACAGTGAGAAGGAGAGGGTAGAAGGAATATGCTGCTGCAAGGGCTATTCAAGAGTTATTTCACTTGTTTTCACTGCCTCTTTTTAGATGTACGTCTCTATGATTGAGTCAAGCCATGAAGCTGTTCCTCAATCCACTGGCAGTGGAAAACAAATCATATTACCTCTTCTAGATGTCAATGACCATAAGTGAATCCAATAGCCCACTTCAAGTTTTACCAAGTCTAGATACTTGAGTCCAAAAACATAAAGTAATCCTCTTTCTTCTGTTTGTTGCATCATTTTAGATCTCTATATGATACTCTGATTGCGTACAACTTTTAAGAATTCCCAAAGAATGCAGGCAGAAACACTCTACACCTTCATAAGACTAAATTCCTCCCTCCCTCTCTAGAGAAGTTTGAAACTTGCTACATGTTTAAAGGTGAGGAACATTAAGAGGAAGTTTAATATTGAGGAAAATGATATTGACCCTTGGATAGGATGTTCACTTTTTCTCGGACACATTATGTTCTATATACTTTGAGAAGTTCTTTTGTGATAGTACAGGGAGAGATAAGGCCTCTCAATTAAGATTAGATAGTATGTGGTTATTTTTTTTTGGTAGAAGAGTGTTCCTATCGGAAGAAATCTTCTGAAAGATGATTGTCTGTTGGCAAAGGTTTAGGATCTTATACTTTCTCTGATTAAAGGAAGGCATCAATTGTGGGTCTCTGTCTAGATGGGAATTTTTCTCATTAGATTTCGGAGTCGTAAGTCTTAAGTTATAACTTTATGCTGATGTTTGGTTTAAAAATATTTATAGTGAATAGCTTGTTTCCTTCATATATACTTTGACAACCTCAACCATTACTTTAATCTTTGCATGAGGCTCTGTTGGAGTTAGGAATATGAGTATGAGGATGCCAGAGTACAATGTTTAGGCTTAATATTTTATATTACACGAGTTTTCCAATAGATATTTGAAAAGCTATTAATTGTGTGTATGTCTTGTAAACTCAACAATGCAATGATAGATTTGTATTCCAATATGCTAAAAGGTGGAAAGAAGAGGTTGTATTGCTATCAACTCAAGAAGCTGAAGAACGCTTTATCTTTCCTTTTGCTGTTATCTATGTTGTTGTGTGCTCGAAAGAAGGTTTTATGAGGATAGTTATAGAACTAGACAGGAAGTATAAGTTATTTTTCTTCTCATTTCTGGTTCTCCTAACTTGGGTGTGATGAGAATTATTTGATGCCAGAGAGATAACTATGGTTGAAATTTTACTAGCTATTTCCAGTAGTTTTGCAAGTAAGTTTTAGCAATAGCTTTGTTCACTTCTTGTAAAGAAGTCCTTGTCTTCACTAGATTTCTCGGTGTGCATAAACATAAATGCTGGTCAAAGGGATAAATATGATAGCGAGTCATGATGCAAATTTAACACTTTTATTTGTTAATCATTTCTTTCAATTATTATCAAAAGAAATTTAATATTCTTACTGTAATATGTAATTTCATACTTAATATTAGTAACACTAGTCCATCTAGGCGCTGCCTTGGCGCCTGCTTTGGCGTCTGGGCGCTGGGTGTAGTGTCCCATAGCATCCAATGTCTTCTGAGACACTGATTCAGCTAAACTATCAAGATAGATATTAGAATTTTTTTTAGAGTGGCTATTATTGTTGAACCTCTTGACAGGTTTATATTTAAAGATTTAATATCTGTTTTGTGGATGACATAAATGTGATAAAACTGTTGAAGGGGAAAGCCTTATATCGGCTGCCCTTGTATATCAAACATAACACGTCCTTCCATTCAGCAACTAGGCCTCTCGCTACACACTATTTCTTTTCTGAAGTACATAACAAACTTGATGGATATATTTTATCGCCTCAGAGTTATTGCATGCTTATCTGCGTATTAGATTCCTTGTTGAGGTTCATCTCTATACTGCAGGTTGCCGGCTTCAAGGACCCCCGTGATGCCTGTGCGGCAATAGCTGCAGAATCATACAAGACGTGGTTAGAACATGAGAGTAGGACTGATGACATTACACTTATTGTTGTGCACATCAAATATATGGGAAATGTATGATCAATTTCCTTAATTCCTGGTCAGTTACATGATATTTACATTAGAGTTCATCGCGCATAGACCCCCTGTAGTTATCATTGTTTCTAACTTACTGACCCTGTAGTTCCTTTGTTGCAAAGACCCTTTGGGTTAAATTTTTCTGACTCTTTTTCCCTCAGATAGACTCACTAATTTTGCCCAGGGGCAATATCTGCTAAGTTTCTCCAAGGGCAGAAGAGTCAAAATTTTTAACCTGCATGGTCTATCTGCAATGATGAAACTACAGGCATGATCAGTTCAAAACAGCAATACTACAGGGGGTATATGTGCAATTAAGCTTTTACATTGTTCTTCGGCTGGTTGATTACTCGCCTTTGAAAAAAAAAATCTTATTAGTCAGATTATGCGATGACTGAGGAAACAAGTGAAATAAGCTCCAAGACTTCCCCAGTGGCATTAGAAAAATTACCTGTGTATAGATATGCATTTCAAGGCTCCGGAAAAAGCACTGAGCTGCATGCATGCCCTGACTTCACGATGGAGCGGAGTCCAGCATGTGTTGCTCCTTCACCGGGGCACACCCCATCTTCCAGAACGGTAGATATTTGCCTATTTCTTCTCTTTTGTATTGTATGCCTGTTTCTTTACCTTCTGGTGTGATCTCTGCCTGCTATACAGTGACCAAACCAGGTTGATTGGGAGAAGTTGATTAGTTGTCCATCCTAATTCCGAGGTACTATGCTTCTCAAAATTTCCTACACTTAACTATGTGATATATTTCTCATAATACCATTTCCCTATGTAATCAGCAAATTTTTCAAGCGACACAGTACCAAAAACTTGGTTTCTGAAAGTTTATGCTTTTTGAAATTGAACTTAGGGTTAATTGCACATAAACCTCCTGTGGTGTTGCTGTTTTGCACTTACTAGCCCTATAGTTTCATTGTTGCAGATATTGCATCTGCGTGAAAATAGCGAGTCTATCTGAGGGTAAAAGAGAAAAAGATTTATCCTAGGGGGTCTATCTGTAACAACGAAACTACCAAGGGTAGTAAGTTCAAGCAATGAAACTACGGGGGTTTATGTGCAGTTAACAATACTTTGAAACAAAACATCTTTTAGCCACCCTAGCTTGATCGACATTGACCTTTTGTCTTAACACCGTGGTTGCAGGCTAGCATGCAGAGTACGTGATTTGTGCAGCAACATTGAGAGGCTGACTGAATTCACTCCAGTGCTTCGCAAGCATCTGCTCTAGTGAAACTTGCACGTAATCAAGTTTGGTGCTTTTTCATCGGTTGTCCTAATCTTGGTTTCTGTACATTTCTTTATGTAAAGCTTTGTTGCTTTGAGATAATCTGGCCTCTGCGAAATCATGGAACAGAGCATGTTAATGTCATTGTGAAATGTTACAATCCGATCCCTGAAACTTGCCAGCACGAAATCATGGCCGTTGCTGCATCAGAGTTCTCAAGAGTTGAAAGGGTTGATTACTCACTGCTATTTTGCACAAACCAGCCCAAAACCCCACCACCTGCCACCCAAAAAGTAGAGGGAAAAAAAAGAAAAAAAGAAAACCAAAAGGAGGGGCGGGGGTAAAGAGCTAATTGCGAACAGCCCTGTAGTATCAGCCTATATTAAATAGCCTCCTTGAAGTTTTATTTGCGGCCCTTTTAGTGAAGTTTTTTGGCTCCTTTAAAATTCAATAAAAAAATGTCATTTGAGAATTTTTCCTCACCAACAAGAGTGTAGAGGTTTTACCCGTCTTCTTAAAATTTTTTTAAACAATTTTAATTAAGAGTGAAAAAAGTTTAGGGCTGGGTCTATTTATAAAAATAGAGGAGTCTATTTGCAATTTAATGTTATGATAGAGGGTCTGTTTACAATTAACCGAAAAAAGACATGTACTTTTACTATCGCTGAAATCCTGCTAATGGAGTGCGCCAGACCATCTTCAATGGCAAGGCAAAAATTGTCTTTCTCTCTCCTTCCACCTCACTTTATTCTCCCTCCACATCACTTGTCTTTTTCAATTGCCTTTCAATTCCACGACAACTAATTTTTCAAAAAGTTTTTCACTTTATCTTTCCTCCACATCACTCAATCATGATAATTAAGTAAAAAATTAAGTTTTATTTTGGTGTCCAAATAACACAAACCCAAGCTCTATTAATAGACCTTGAAAAATAATAAATAGTGGTGAAAAAATAAAAAATTAATTTCGAGTAATTATTGATCAAAACAGTCATTTAAAAACAAGGTGAGAATAATTGTAAAAACTTTATGACACGCGGGGCCCAACAAGAAATTTAACACAAAGGCAAAATTTGCCTTCTATTGTCTTTCTCTCTCCAATTTTTTCATTTGTCTTTTAATTTGACTTGCTATTGGATGTAATAATTTTTGAGTTGCCTTGTCATTGCACTTGGTTTAAGGGATTCTCAACGCTAAAAAAAAAGCTGTCTTCAGTTATTCAAAGTTTTCAAACGGACACATTTTATAAAAACATCCAATATTAATATTTAATTACAAAACTCAACTGATTTTATGATTCGTGCACTGACATTGGACTATTCTAAGTTTTTCCCAAAAATGGAATATAAGAGGATACAAATCCATATATACAGCAAAACCATTATTCATATAGGCATTAAACACTGTATCAATATATGCTGTTACCGCTTGATGCTTAGGATCTGGTTTTGCTTTTGAGATAAAGAAATCGACAAATTTAAACAATAAAAAATGGTTCGCATTTTAATGCTGTTTTCATGTTCCTCGAAAAAAAAACATTAGCGTACAGAATGAGTAAAAATAAATAAACTTTGCAATATCAAAGTTCATAAGGACAAATTTTCAAAACCAACCTATTTGGACTTTTATTCTCAAAAAAAGACCCGTTTCACATTTATTTAGAGAAACCGACCTGGTTTCAGCCTCAGCGCTGAAACCAGGTCGGTTTTTGAAAAAAACTCTCCGAAACTTCACGGGAGTTGAACTCCCGTGAAGTTTTTTGAACTACGAAACTTCACGGGAGTTCAACTCCCGTGAAGTTTCGGAGAGTTTTTTTCAAAAACCGACCTGGTTTCAGCGCTGAGGCTGAAACCAGGTCGGTTTTTACAATTATTTTTGAATGGGGTCGTTTTTTGGGAATAAAAGTCCAAATAGGTTGGTTTAGAAAATTTGTCCAAGTTCATAATAGCTGAAGCTTTGGGGTACCAATGTGCAATTATGCCACAATGGGCACATTCTTTCGGTTGACCCCTCGTGCGATCGAACAAAACCAAATAAAATCGTCATTTTTTTTTTATTTTTTATCAATCATCATCATGTCCTTCTCCTTCTTCAAGCCCTCTCGCCCTCGATCTGTACCCTCAGAGCTCGCAAGGGCAATCAAGGACAGCCTGCTCGCCCTCGACACTAGGAACTTCACCGAGGTTAGAGCCTTTTTATGTATTTTTTTTTTTAATGCATAGACGTGGGAATTTGGACATGGGTGGTTCTTGATATTTTTCCGTTATTTGAGGTTTTTTGAAACGGGTATTTGTCAGTTGCGCTAGGTTTGGCTTCTGTTTGGTCTGATTGTAGGGTTAGAGATCGGTTCTTGAACAAAAATTGGATTGTGCTTTGACGTGTTTGTATGTATTTTGCTAAGTTTAGTTGAGATTGATGTAGAATTTATCTAACTACTGAGCCTTGATTGATTAATTTCATATGAAGATGAGGGGGAATCAAAATGGCACATTGATATTATTTCTAGAGTAATAACATGCATTAACCGTTTATAAAGCTGAATCAAAACGGCATGTTGACATTATTGCTAGAGTATGCTTTTATGCAAAAATTTGTTTATTTTTATGTGTTTACGTGGAATTTGGACATAGGTTCTTGATATTTTGTTGCTATTTGGGGTTTTGTTCAGTTGTTCTAGATTTGGCTTCTCTCTTGTCTACTTATAGGTTTAGAGATTGGTTTCTTGACAAAGACTTGGATTGGGTTTGATGTGTTCGTATGTGCTTTTGATATATGAAGTAGATTGAGAGTATCTAATTCAGTTAAATAAAAGGTTGAATTTTAATAAACCTTGATTGCCCAATTTCATATGAAGTTGATGGGGGAATCAAAATGACTCGTTGGCGTTATTGCCAGAGTCGTCAGATAACGCTTTCCGGTCCCATATGAAGAGCTCAATTAGTTTGTGATTTTAGTATTTTTCCACAGCAGTTGTTCAGCTCGAGCCTAAATTTGTAATTTACAATCTATTGAAATTGTGAAGCACGGCTCTAATGATGTCATCAAGAACAAATTTGGTAACAAAACACTTTACTGAGTAAGAAAGCACCCTTTTATTTATTTGAGAATCAGGTTAATGCGTCTTGACAAGCATATTTGGGCCCCCAAAAAGTTACGCTTTTTATTGACTGTAATTTTACACAATATAATTTATACGGTTGTCTAGTCATTATTTTGGTAAATTTGATAAAAGAATATGCTTACTATCTATATATTTGATTAACCAGTTACATGGTCGTAAGCAATCATGCGATGCAGCTAACCAACACATGAGGCACACTGAGGAGAGGTGGTTGCAAAATGTACCTATCTATTCTTCATGTTACAAACTGAGGGCTATTGGTTTATAATCGACACTGTTATTACACAATTTGATTTTATTAGCTTTTTCCTAAAAATATAGTCATAATTACAGCTTATTCCAACACGATGCTGTTTGAGCAGTTAATAGTAATATAATTATCAGCACTGACGTGCATTTTGTTCTTTGCGTATCAGTTGTGGCCGTACTTTCTATTTGCTAGTTAAGATTCAAACTCTGCATATACTAGTAATATGTTCCCTGTGCAATTCACATAATTCGAGAAAGTGATATGTGCGTCGATGGGGGAGGAAAAAGAGTAGAGACATAAAGATTAAGTGGTGTATAATAGGACACAGGAAAGCTACAATGACTTGTTTAATGATAAATAAGATAGGTATTATCTCCGTGGATAATACTAATATAATATAAAACTATAAATATGCATAAAGCTAGCCCCACCAAAGTGTGAACATAGTGCCTAATGATAAGGGTGGAACTATAAGTTTTCTGACTGAGGGGAAAAAAGAAAATTCAACTAACAATAATTCGAATCAATATTCTATTCCACTTAAGTCTTAACAATTCTTCACATATTTGCTATACAGCTTGTTATCATTGCACATAGCACAACGAAATCAATAAGATGAATCACAATAATTCCCACGGCAGTGTCATGCCTATTTCAAGCCAATGCAAAGAGAAAAAAATGTAGTTCCTACCACATGAAGTTACCAGTTATGCTACATATACAGAAATACTTTGGACTATTACCAGTGTAGAGAGAAATATGATGCCTTCAAGGACTTACACAAAATTAATCAGTCTCAAATCTCTAAAAAGCCCTGCAAATAGAGAAAATAATTTGTTAAATAGACCCAACTAAACTTATAGCTGAGATTTAAATATTCATTGTTTGGAAGAAAGATTAGGATTCCAGTCACAAACCATTAAGAAATTTGTAGCACCAATAGGAGAACTATGAAGATAGATTGTAAATAATTCTCCATATGAATAAAAATTTTTTATTACAATAATCCTTCAAAATCAATGTAAATTGGATATTAAATGAAAGCATTCACATAGAATAAGGCAGGAGTAACCCAATTATCCTGTTGAGAAGGGGAGATGTACCTGAAATCATGCCCGTGAAATAAAAACCTAGTAAATTCATACCAGATAAGGATGGGGGGAGTGAGAGAGATAGTAGTCTAGTAGTATAAGGATGTTACTAGATGCAACTTTACTTAATTTATCCTTTTAATTTATGCATTATTTTCATATTAGGCTCTAGAAGAAGTTGAAAGAATATTGTATCAATGAAGCGAATGCTCTGAGAATATGGAGAAGCTGAACCAAATCAAGACCAGGTTACTCAAATAGCCATTGAAATTTGCAAAGAGGATGTTCTTCCTCTTTTCGTCCAGAAGTTGCCAAGCTTGGGTTGGGACGTAAGTTTACCTTATATCTATCAAAAAAATTTGTTTCTCTAATGCTAAAGTTTATTGAGGCATTCTTAACAGACTAGAAAAGATTTAGCCCACTGCTGGGGAATTCTGTTGAGGCAACAAGTTGGCTCTAGCTTTTGTTGCGTTGATTATATCGAGAAACATTTGGAACTTTTGGACTTCCTTATATTTTGGTAAGTCAACATTCATACACAACATTAGTTTTTTGCATGTTTTTTCTTTGGGAAATTTTTTAAAATAGCCCACTTTTGCTAAATATTTAGCAAAATAGACCACTTTGCTAAATATTTAGCAAAATAGACATCTTTTTGGCCAATAGGCCAAAAAGATGTCGATTTTGAAAAACAAGGCTCAGACGACATACGGGACTAGTAGTCCCGCATGTTTAGAGCCAACTTAATTAGTGCTTAGTGGACTCAGAAAACATACGGGACTACTAGTCCCGTATGTCGTCTGAGTGCATTACCAAAACGTACGGGACTAGTAGTCCCGTACATTTTGCAGAGACATTTCGCATGTGCCCAGCAAATCCACGGGGCTAGTAGTCCCGTGGATTTTGTGTCTTAAATAAGTGGGCTCCGCAATTCTACGGGACTAGTAGTCCCGTAGAATCGCAGACTACATAAGCCAGCTGCACCCCAAATTAGGGCACATCCGCTTCCCTCTCTTTCTCTCGTGATCTCCCGTTCTCTCTCCCGACTCCCGATCTCCCCCTCTCTCTTTCCCGAGCTCTTGATCTCCCTCTCTCCCAAACCTTATCTCACTCTCTCCCAAGCCGATCAACATCTCAAACCCGACCTCCATACAATTCCCAAACCCTACCCAACAATCATGATCTCTTTCTCCCAAACCCAACTCACCTATTCCTTCCTCAGATCTGACGCTGACGCCGTCTATTCTCTATGAGGCCGACGAGATCCGAAATTTCATCAAGGTATATATTTTATATTTTTCATAAATTTCTCTATATTATTTAGTTAATATTGTATATCTAGAAGAATTATGTAATTATGATTAAATATATAGAAAAAATCTAATTTTTATATGATGAATTTTAATTCTTCAGTTAAAATGGCGAATGGAATACCAATTATTTGTTTATTCAATAGAAAACTGAGTGTTGGAATGAATAATATGCCTATATACAATGGAGGCTCTAGGAAAATGTTCATGTTGTCTAGAAATTATAATTTTGATAGAATGATGGCGCAAATATACAGAGTTACTGGAATTAATCTCTTCAAAAATGCCATTAAAGTCTTCTGTAATTGTCCAATAAATGATCAAGAACAGTTACTGTAGAGATCACTAATGATGAAGAATTGAATGACATAATACAACTTGCGGAGAAACAAATCTCAATCGAGTTGTTCATTGAAAATATTCCAATGTCTGGGGTTGCTGAAGTTTCATATGCTCGCGGAGAGTTCTCCCGCATGCTTGAAAATCAAATCTCGTTATCTCAAAGTGCCTTGCGCTTAAAAAATGACTCGGGTGCAATATCAAATGACGTGTTCCACAACTTGTCGGGTCATGTTTCAGTTGATTTACCGGTTGGTTCTATAATAGAAGATGATGAGGATGAGAATAAGGATGTAGATGCTGAAGAGGAGGAACATCTTGATAGTATGCAGTGTGCAATTGGAGAGACCAATGATGACGTACGTTGGATGAGTGAATATTGCGTAAATAATGACTATGTAGAGTCTGAAGAGCCATTGCCAGAAGAGTTTCAAAATGATGAGTGGATAAATTGCGAAAATTATAATAGAATGTTCAATCTCTTGTTAGCTTTTGGTTTCTTATATCAATATTACAATGTAATTGTAGATAGATGCTATGGACGAGGTCGAGGGGATTGCAAATGAGGGCATAGCTACCGCCACATGAGATTCAGTACACGTATCGATATTGCATTAGATAGTGGCGAGGGTTCGTAGAGCTTTTCAACAAACTCATGAGGATCAGCATGAAGGTCGTGAGCAGGTGCATCTTGAAGATACTCTATATGCACGCCGACGTAGACGTGGTAGACATTACACACACGACGATGAAGCTGGTCCGTCACAGCAACCCGGTCCGTCATAGCCCAACACACAACCGGAGAGTGAGCATATACAAGCTCAAGTCGAAGGAGGACGTCGACGATCTTAACGAGTGCGAAGAGAGACAACGGGGGAGGGGTGGATTTTTTATTTGTTAGTTTTTCCACTAAGATAAATATTGTCGTATGGATTTATTGACATTTGAATTGTTTAGCTTAAACTAAATATTATCGTATGGGTAGACTTGATATATTTTGATTTGTTTAGCTTAGACTGATATATATTATCGTATGGATTTGTGATGTATATTTTTGTCAGATTTTGGATGTGATGTGTATTTCGTCGGATTTGTGTTGTGATGTTATTGATTACATAAGATTTGTGTGGTGATGTTGTGTATTTTTAACATTTGTGTTGTGATGTTGTAATTTTATAACTTTTATCAAAGTATACACTATAAATGATATATTTTTGGTGAAAATTTTGGTCGTATATCGATAAATGAGGCATGTGCATGTTTTGTGCATGTTTTGGCTCTGCCCAGCAAATCCATGGGACTACTAGTCCCGTGGATTTGCTGGGCATAGGCGAAATGTCTCTGCAAAATGTACGGGACTACTAGTCCCGTACGTTTTGGTAATGCACTCAGACGACATACGAGACTAGTAGTCCCATATGTTTTCTGAGTCCACTAAGCACTGATTAAGTTGGCTCTAAACATACGGGACTACTAGTTTCGTATGTCGTCTGAGCCTTGTTTTTCAAAATCGACCTCTTTTTGACCTATTGGCCAAAAAGAGGTCTATTTTGCTAAATATTTAGCAAAGTGGTCTATTTTGCTAAATATTTAGCAAAAGTGGGCTATTTTAAAAAATTTCCCTTTTTCTTTCTTTATCCCATGCACAGTCATGCGGAAACTAGAAATCTATGATTTTATAGTAGTCATATCATGTTATCTTAAATCATTTTTTGATTCCAACATTGTACTAAACTTCACAACAAGTTATATGCAATAAGATTTACAGAGAATGCTCATCATTTGCTTAGATGATAGATTGTTATAAATGGTTCTACAGTATGGCAACCCCTTGGTGTAAAACTTTCAAGCATAATTAAGACTTCTCTATCCCATTTAGGTCCGTTAAAGTATTACCGTAGCAAGTTTTATTTAGGTCCTGCTACCTTTTATTCTATTTACAATATTGAACCAGTTTCTTTAAAGCTTATCTGTTTCCAGTGTTGACTGCACACAGCCTCATGCTTTTTTTTCCTTCCTTTTTGTTCATGTGTTTTCTTGTATATAATAAGTGGTTTAAACTAATAATTGCCAAGTTTTTGTTATGCTCTTGCACTTTGATCTTACGTATACTAATATAGAGCCATAAAATACCACCAACAAATCTTTTATCATACATACTCCGAGCACTTCAGAGAAGTTAAAATTTTGTAAGACCCTTTTTTACTCGGAGTTTGACTTGAACAGGAAAGATACCAGAATTTAAACTTCTATTAAAATATTTAAGTATTACTTTTCATCTGGATCTTTTCTTTATTGTCTAATGAACCTTGATTCAGCTAATAATATGTTCTATAACAATTATAATAACAAGGAGATTGCTCTCAATTGTGGTAGTATGTTGAGGGAATGCATCAAATATCCATCACTTGCAAAGTAAGGTCTTTTAACTCTTTTATTGAAGTTAACTTTTCATGTTCTCATATGATGTTCTTTTTTATCTTATTCTAAATCTGAACTGTTAATATGTGTGAATATACATTAGATAGCTTGATGATCATGATCTCTTATCTATGGTTTTGTGGCTTAACAAATCATATAATTAATGAACTGTAAACCTGATTGTGAAGATACAAATGTTTCCATAAGTATCACTATGAGGCTAAATAATTAGAACCAGAGAGGACCTATTATTTATATTTTTTTACTTTTCTTTTCTTTTTTGTCATGGTGGATGTGGCAACAAAAAAAGAAAGTCAAACGAATAATAGTTTTAAAGTAATGTAGAACTCATGAACGATCACAAACTGAATAACAGCTCTGTCTTATTTCTTTGTCCAGAGGTATAGTTAGCATCATCTTGCGACAAATCGGTTTTATTTCTTCACACATTTTGATTTTGTAGTGCTATTTGAGATACGTATTGGAATCAAGAAGCTTTGAGTTGTTCTTCAAGTATGTTGAATTACCAAACTTTGATATTGCTTCTGATGCCCTTGCTACCTTCAAGGTTAGTTTCACCCTTTATGTGTGATATGATTGTTTTGAAATATGTCCAACTCATTGTTTTTTCCCTTATACTCTGAGCTAAACATTTGGTAGGAGTTGCTTACTAAACATGAGACAGCAGTATCACAGTATTTGAGTGTACATTACGAAGTGGTAAGCTTATAGACAAGCTTATGACATGAAATTTCTGTCTATTATTTTGGCAACTTGTCTCATTCAGCTCAATCTGATTCTAGAATTTTGTTCCAGTTCTTTGAGAACTATGACAGACTATTGGCTTCTCCAAATTATGTGACAAGAAGGCAATCATTGAAGGTTTGGCACTTAATGATGAACATTTTTATTGAGTTTGACTCAGCATGTTTTGAAGTATGGACTGATAACGGGATGATATATTTTAGTTTCTTTCGGATTTTCTTTTGGAGCCTCAAAATTCACAAATAATGAAGCGTTATATCTTAGAAGTTCGATACTTGAAGACTATGATTGCTTTGTTGAAGGTAGTGTTTTCTTTTGATTTCATTGACCTAACTTTGCTTACTTATGATCATTTTTTTCTATAGGGTGTACACATCAGAATAAACTTGAGTTCTTATGATACACTGCCGTCGTTTTTTTTTTCTGTTTCCTCTTTTACCCTCTAACAAGAGAATCATAATTTTGTAGGATTCAAGCAAAAACATTCAGTTTTCAGCATTCCACATTTTCAAGGTAACTCTTTCTTTTTGGTCTACTTGTTTACCTCTCATTATCAAGTTATTTCCATTGAACATCTTTTGTATTATGTTCTTTTACTCTGATAATAATATGAGCTAAGGTCCTCTTTTTCCTCAAAAAAAACTTAAATAAAATAATAGATGCAACATCATGAAAGTATATACTCCTAAGGTCATGTTTGGGTTGGGTACTATCTTGAGTTAATAACATTTTATCCTTTAAACTAAAGTAGTCCAGAGATTTCGGACTAAACAAAGTGGGGAAGGAGGGTGTTAGTATAGTCCGGGACTATACTTGGGATTAGATACAAAAAGACCTCATTACCTCTTGACTTTCCTAAAAATTGTCTAGGATTACCTTCTCTAATTATCTCCCTCACACTTTCTTTTGACATCATCTAACAAAAGAAAAACAACGAAGCACCATTCCAGTGACAAAAATTCCAGACACTGTTCCACTGCAAGCATCTCTTGAAATGCATGTACCCACTTAAGCTTTTTAACGTGTTCATTGTGCTATATTATGCATCTAATTTGATGGTTAATTATAGCGCAATATATTTAGCAAGCACCGAGTGGTTATTCACCTCATTTAGTACCATTTGCACTAGTGGCTTCAATAGGGGTGAGAGATGTAAAAGATGTTTGATGGTTTATGTAGTTTCTAAAAATTGCAGAAGAAATAGTTCAATATTAGAATTTGGTTATGATGGGATAAATAGATATATTTAATTACATAAGATTGCAAGGAAATGACATTATGGACATTTGCTATTATATTCTAATCATATACCACTTTATAATGATGAGTTTCCAAACATGACATATATAGTGAGTTTTTAATAATTTGTTTGGTTCAATTCAGAATTAACACTTGCAGTACCTATATAGGTACTGCAAGTGTTAATTCTGAATTGAACCAAACAAATTATTAAAAACTCACTATATAGTCTTTATTATATCCTAGGACTATAGTGAGTTAATTTAATCCGGGATAAAACAAGTACGCAATCCAAACATGGCATTAGTTGTTAATGAAGTAGGTTTTGTGAAGCACGTGGCCACTACCACGTGATTGAAGCTCACGCGGAAGTTTACGCGGAGCGGAGAGCGTGAACATCAAAGCCCACCCGAAATCAAATCACAATATATATTAACTTGTTTTCTTTTTAGGGTTTTTTGTGCGAAGGAAGGCAGAGGGAATAGTCTTGCGGCTACAGGTGCGTGAGAGCAAGGCTGCATGTGCGCGAATTCGTTTGGCGGCTGCAGGAGAAAATCGCGTGCAAAGGCAGAGAAGAAAATTGCTGTGCAAGGAGAAAAGTCAGCCGCCTTTTGTGAAGATTTTGTGCAGTTGTTTTCAGAGAGATATCTGTGTGAGGGATTTGAGAGATTGTGTGAGGGTTTAGATTGAGTGATTGTAAACCCTATTTGTATTCTCTCCCTCTAGTAGTAGATCTCCCCCTCCTTGCCCCGTGGATGTAGGCAATTTTTGGTTGTACTGCTATTTGTGTGATCTGTAATAGCTTTTAGGTTCCCTCGACGCGCAGTCCTAGAGCTGACGAGAGGAAGAGCTAATATCCCACTTTGATGGGATATTAAGCTTCAGATTCTTGTTCCCTTTGAGAAACAAGAATTCTTATTGCGACCTGACTCTCTTGTTGTGCTGTCGGAGTGTTGCCGAAATTTTCGCTGCGCGCAACAAGTGGTATCAGAGCCCAAATTTCAGATCTAGGATTTTTTGGTGGAGAAAGATTCTTGTGTGAAGCTTGGTTCTTGGAGTTCTAGGCTTCGGTGGAGATAGCATTAGGAGTTGTTGTTGGAGATTTTGCTTTCCTCGTGTGGATAGGAGATCTATTTGGAATCCGATCTAGGGTTCAGTTGGGTGGTTCCTAATTTTTATTAAATTTGTTTTTTCTCTACAATTTGGAGTTAGTTTGCAATGGGAGAAGAAGGTGAAAGCAGCAAATCGATGGCGAGTACAATACAAGTTGGTTTTCAGAACTCTAAGATTAGTGTGGTGAAGTATGACGGCAAAATCAACTTTGGTTTGTGGATGAGCGACGTACAGGATGCGCTCAATGCTCAGAATTTGAAAGAGACCATCATGGTCCACGAGAGGCCACCTAAATATGAAGAGGCGGTATGGGATAAGATGAATAGGAACGCGTGTGGGGTGATCAGGTCCTGTTTGGAACAGGAACTGAAATATGATGTGATTGGGGTGACGTCTGCAATGAAGATGTGGGAAATTCTCAACAATAAGTATCTCACAAAGAGTGTTGAGAACAGGTTACACTTGCTGCGAAGACTCTTCAGATTTCAGATGTCTAGAGGCACCTCGCTAGCGGCTCATATGAACAACTATACTAAGTTGTTGTCGGACTTGGCGAATGTTGATGAGAAGATATCGGATGAGTACAAGGCGATTATTTTGTTGGGCTCCTTACCGGATGAGGAGTATGATACCTTCGTGCTCACTTTGTTGAAGGGGAGATCTTCTATCAGCTATAGTGAAGTGACTAACGCTTTGACCAATTACGATTTGAAGAGGAAGGACAAGGAGACTTCCCACGCTAGTACTTCAGGAGAGGCCTTGTCGACGAGAGGTAAAAGCCCATATCCGAAAGGTGGTAACAGAGGGAGGTCAAAGTCTAGAGGCCGCCACCAATTAACAAAGAACCAATGTGCATTCTGCAAGGAGCAGGGACATTGGAAGAGAGACTGCCCGAAGCTCAAGGAGAAGGAGAATGGCAAGAAAAAGGGCCCGAAGGCCAATGAGGTGAACATTGCGAAAGGCGATGATTCCGATGATTCGTGCTTTTCTCTACTGATTACTCCGGAGGTGAACCATGTGGATGCATCAGATTGGATGCTTGATTCCGGCGCTACCTTTCATGTGACCCCTAGGCGAGACTGGTTTGCATCTTTTGAGAAAGTCGACGGGGGCGTTGTTGTCATGGGAAATGATCAATCCTGTGGCGTTTGTGGGATAGGTACCGTGCGGATTAGGATGCACGATGGAGTAATCCGTGAGTTGAAGGAGGTGAGATTTGTTCCTCAACTGAAGAAAAATCTTATCTCAGTTGGAGCTTTGGAGGCGAAGGGATTCAAGGTGACTTTCGAAAACGCTGTAGCGAAGGTTACTAATGGATCATTGGTGGTGATGAGGGGAGTCCGCAATCGGAATTTGTATTATCTGAAGGGAAGCACCGAGATTGGCCAGGTTGCTTCGGCTATTTCAGAAGCGGACATGAACAGACTTTGGCACTATAGATTGGGGCACACAGGTAAAAAGTCATTGCAGACATTGTGCAAACAGGGGCTATTGAAGGGAGCCAAGAGTGGGAAGATTGAGTTCTGTGAGCACTGTGTTCTTGGCAAGAAGACAAAGGTAAAGTTCGGGACTGCCATTCATCAGACGAGGGGCATCCTGGACTACGTGCACACAAACGTTTGGGGTCCTACCAAGACTGCATCACTTGGTGGTAGACATTGGTTCGTCACTTTTGTAGATGACTATTCTAGGCGTTGTTGGGTGTACACCATGACGAAGAAGAGTGAAGTCCTAGATTTGTTTGTGGAGTGGAAGAAGAGATTGGAACTGCAGACTGGGAGAAAGATCAAGACGTTGCGATCCGATAACGGTGGTGAGTATACTTCTGACCCCTTTTAGCAGCTATGTCGAGACGAGGGCATAGAGAGGCACTTCACAGTTAGTCATACACCGCAGCAAAATGGGGTGGCAGAGAGATTAAATCGGTCTTTACTGGAGAAGATCCGATGCTTATTGTCGCAGAGTGGTTTGGAGAAGATCTTTTGGGCTGAGGCACTTACATATGCGAGCCACCTCATTAATAGGCTGCCTTCATCTGCGATTGAGGGGAAAACCCCTATGGAGATGTGGTCGGGAAAGCCAGCACACGACTATGACCAGCTCAAGGTATTTGGGTGCCCTGCATATTATCATGTTAGAACTGATAAATTAGAACCTCGAGCTAGGAAGGCCATATTTGTAGGATTCAAGCGTGGTGTCAAGGGATACAAACTTCGGGATCCAGTTGATAAGAAGATTATGCTGAGTAGGGACGTCACGTTTGATGAAGCTTCTATCTTGAAGCTTTCCAGCTCTCATCAGGTGGAGAGCGATCCGACGGAGGAGATATCGCAGGTGGTGGAGATCGATGCGGCTCCACATTGTCCAGATGGTACAATATCCATGCAGGTGCTGACTGAGGTGACGCCAGGCGAGCACGACGATGACACGGAAGATACGAGTACAAATGTGTAGGATCAGGAACCGACGGCTCAGGTTCAGGATTCTATTGCGGCTAGGAGACAGAGGAGAAACATACAGATGCCAGCACGGTATGCCGACACAGTTGCGTATGCACTTCCGGTGGAGAGTATCGATGAGTTAGTGCCTACTACATTCAGAGAGGCCGAGCAGAGTTCGGAGGCTGATTCGTGGCAGGTGGCTATGCAGGAGGAGATGGAATCTCTTCATAAGAACGATACATGGGAGCTTGTTGAGCTTCCAAAGGGGCGGAAGGCAATTGGTTGCAAGTGGGTATACACGAAGAAGGAGGGCATTGAAGGCACTCCGTTGAGATTCAAGGCTAGGTTGGTTGCGAAGGGCTATGCACAGGAGGAAGGAATAGATTATAATGAGGTTTTCTCCCCGGTGGTGAAGCATTCTTCGATTCGGATTTTGCTAGCTTTGGTGGCACAGTATGGTTTGGAATTAGATCAGTTGGATGTGAAAACGGCATTTCTTCATGGTGATCTTGATGAAGAAATATATATGACTCAGCCATTGGGATTCCGAGCTGCAGGGAAGGAAAAATTGGTTTGCAGGTTGAAGAAATCGCTATACGGTTTGAAACAGTCTCCTCGACAGTGGTATAGACGATTTGATGGTTTTATACTTGGTCATTCGTACACTCGGAGCCAGTTTGATCCTTGCGTATATTTTCACAAGTTGAAAGGAGGTGCGTACATTTATTTACTGCTCTATGTGGATGACATGTTGATTGCCTCTATTTCCAGGTCGGCTATAGATGAGTTGAAAGTTCAGCTTTCAAATGAGTTTGAGATGAAGGATTTGGGTGAGGCGAAGCGCATTTTAGGGATGGAGATCGGCAGAGACAAGAAAAATGGCAGAATTTGTTTGACACAGGTGGCTTATTTGAAGAAGGTTCTACAGCGATTCCATGTTAGCATGGATACGAAGCCAGTTAGTGTACCATTGGGAGCCCATTTGAAGCTTTCAGCTGGTCTCTCACCGAAGTCAGTTGAAGATCGTGAGTTGATGTCGAAGACTCCATATGCGAGCGCGGTTGGGAGCTTGATGTACGCAATGGGTACGAGACCAGATTTGTCACAGGCGGTGAGCATGGTATCGAGATACATGCACGATCCAGGAGTGGGTCATTGGGACGCCGTGAAATGGATTTTGAGGTACATTCGAGGTACGCTCAATGTTGGTTTGGTTTATGAGCGGGACACTACAGGTGGGCAGTTATGCATTGGTTATGTTGATTCGGATTATGCCGGGAATATGGATAAGCGCCGGTCTACGACGGGGTATGTGTTCACTTTGACCCGTGCGCCGGTGTGTTGGAGATGCACCTTACAGTCGACGGTGGCTTTATCTACGACGGAGGCAGAGTATATGGCAATTACGGAGGCTGTGAAGGAGGCTATTTGGCTTCGAGGACTTTTGGAGGAACTTGGTATATCACAGAGGTCTGTCACTATTCATTGTGATAGCATGAGTGCTATCTATTTGGCGAAGAATCAGGTTTTTCATGCGCGGACGAAGCACATTGACGTTCGTTATCACTTCGTTCGAGATGTTCTTGAAGATGGCGATGTGGAAATTGTGAAAGTCCACACGAAGGATAATCCGGCAGATATGCTCACTAAGGTGTTTCCGAGCAACAAGTTCGATCATTGTCGAAACTTGTTGTATATTCGTGATTGTTGAGGCCGTTAGCGGCCATTTGGACGAACTACGTTCGGCTTGATTCCTTGGGCAAGAGGATACGTAGGCAGTCTTTCAGATGCAGCCGGTTTGGATTAGTTGATGGGGGTGAGATTGTTTGGACTCTCGTTTGGGTTCTCGACTTGTTGTGGATTGAGTTCGTACTGGTCACAACAAGTGGGACATTTGGTTGCTTTGGTGTCGGCTCAGTTTTGGGGAAAACTTCACCGAGGTGGAGAATTGTGAAGCACGTGGCCACTACCACGTGATTGAAGCTCACGCGGAAGTTTACGCGGAGCGGAGAGCGTGAACATCAAAGCCCACCCGAAATCAAATCACAATATATATTAACTTGTTTTCTTTTTAGGGTTTTTTGTGCGAAGGAAGGCAGATGGAATAGTCTTGCGGCTACAGGTGCGTGAGAGCAAGGCTGCATGTGCACGAATTCGTTTGGCGGCTGCAGGAGAAAATCGCGTGCAAAGGCAGAGAAGAAAATTGCTGTGCAAGGAGAAAAGTCGGCCGCCTTTTGTGAAGATTTTGTGCAGTTGTTTTCAGAGAGATATCTGTGTGAGGGATTTGAGAGATTGTGTGAGGATTTAGATTGAGTGATTGTAAACCCTAGTTGTAATCTCTCCCTCTATTAGTAGATCTCCTCCCTCCTTGCCCCGTGGCGTAGGCAATTTGCCGAACCACGTAAAATTGGTTGTACTGCTATTTGTGTGATCTGTAATAGCTTTTAGGTTCCCTCGACGCGCAGTCCTAGAGCTGACGAGAGGAAGAGCTAATATCCCACTTTGATGGGATATTAAGCTTCAGATTCTTGTTCCCTTTGAGAAACAAGAATTCTTATTGCGACCTGACTCTCTTGTTGTGCTGCCGAAGTGCTGCCGAAATTTCCGCTGCGCGCAACAGGTTTCATACTCGCCAACTAATTTTCCCTTTTGCATTTGGTTTTTAAATGTTTCTATGGTCAAATCAGGTTTTTGCCATTAATCCGCAAAAGCCACGAGAGATAATTGAGGTCTTAGCACAAAAGCATCAAAAATTGTTGCTGCTACTAAACAATCTTCCTATGAACAAGTATAGTCCTCCTCCCCAACCCCCCCCCCCCCTCTCTGTATACATCTATTTCTCACAAACTGTGTGCTACTTAAGTTAATGCATACATACACTCATGTGTATATATAATCCGGTTAGATCGATAAATATTAATATCAGCATGCATATATTGAAGTGATTTTCTTGTTATACATTATGTCAGAACACTTATTTCTATTCCACTCTTTTCTTTTGCATACTCATTTCTATTCGACACTTTTCTTTTGCGTACTCATTTCTATTCCTCTCTTTTCATTTGCATATTCATTTGGGTTGTATTTACTTTAGGTGGTGATGATGAGGAACTCGAAGAGGAAAAAGATCTAATAATCAAGGAGATCGAAGTATTTACTTTAGGTGGTGATGATGAGGAACTCGAAGAGGAAAAAGATCTAATAATCAAGGAGATCGAAAGAATTTCTCGATTACCAGATATGATCGCTTAATTTTTGTTATTATTTTTAATTTTTTTTCCTTCTATTTTCTTCATGTGCTACTTTCTCCCATGTTTTTTATTTGCAAAATGATTCAATTATTTTTTTTGAACCTGAGAAACAGGGTGAGGTACCCTGTTCATTTGAATATATTAATAGAAGATAGAAGAATGTACATACTTCTTCTCTAGATGATGGTGAGATCAGTGAGAGAGGTGGGTAGGGAGCGGACCATAGTCGTCACCTACCACACCACACCAACCGATTCCATCATCTAAAGAAGGCAAAAGGAAACCAAAAATAGACAACGTTTCATAAGGATCATAGAAAACACTACAATACTGATAAGAGACTGAAAATGCTAGGCACTGATAGCCCCTAACCAAAAGGGAACAAATAAAACACCCAAAGTCAACAAAGCATGTCTAGAATGCCACTCAGGATACAGATGTTAGCTGCTGCGGAGGCTCTCCCCTGCATCCCCTGAGGAAGACTTCTTCGCTAGGTTCTGGAGGCCGAGATTAAGGGCTGCCCTACGAAGCCTCCTCGCCGTCCTGTCATCTTCTTCACCTGTCCAGAAAAGTGAGAATCTCGCAATATTAGATGCAGCTAATAGCGAGTTAGGAGGAGTATCTCTGAAAATTAAAGAGTTCCTTGTAAACCATATCCACCAACAGAAACAAGGCAACAAGATCTTCCAAAAGGTTTTGATATTCAGGCAAATGTTGGGTAATTGATAGAGCAACAGCAGCTTTTCCATGTTTAAAGGCCAGCAGTTTGCTGGGAAATGTGGGAGAAGGTGATTCCATACTTCACGAGCAAAAGAGCAGTGTATAAATAAATGGTCATGGGACTCCGTCTCCCGAATGACATAATGGACAACTTGGATCACCGTTCCAACCTTTTTTGATCAAATTATCTTTGGTATTCAATTTCCCTTTAGAGATGATCCAGAGGTGGATTTTTACCTTAAGGGGAATGTTGGATTTCCATATTAACTTGAAAAACTGGGATTTAAAACCCCCTGAAGAAGTAAAAGAGTAAAGGGATTTTACAGAGAAAGCGCCCGATGGGTGAAGAGGCCACCATAAGGAGTCTTGTTCGGATGGGCCACCTGGAGATAGATGTTCTAGGAAGGAGTGGAGATGAATAACATCATCCCTCTCTCTTGGGGAAGATCCCCTTCTAATAATAGGATGCCAAAGCCATGAACCATATGCCCATCTACCTTGCGAACTGATGCTACAATTACTCGAGAAGGCAAGCTTGTAAGCATGGGGAAAGAGGCTGCTAAGGGTGTTAGCTGCTGCCCATTTGTCATGCCAAAAACTGCTCGAAGTACCATTACCGACATTCCATCTGACAATGCTGAAGAAAGTGGATTGAGCTGAGAGAAGGTCCTGGAAAAATCTTGAGTGTGCCAACTTCGGATGATTAGCAAAAGGGTTAGCTCCATGTTTGGAATATATAGAAAAAAACACTTCACTGAGGAATGATGATCTATCCCAAATTTTCCAGATCCATTTGGAGAGGAGGGCTGAATTAAAGGAGGGGATATCAATCACCCCAAGCCCACCTTCAACTTTGGGTTTACATACTATACCCCAGTTAATGAGGCACTTGGATCTAGAGAAGCTGTGGCTGCCATTCCAGAGGAAATTTCTTCTGATTTTATCAATGGCCTTGGAGACCCATATCGGCAACTTGAAGAAAGACATGTAATAAAGGGGAATAGAGGAGAGCACTGAGTTCAGCAATGTTAATCTGCCTCCTATTGAAAGAGTTTTGTTCTTCCATAAAGATAGCTTTTTTTTAAAAGATTCTAGGAGAGGTTGCCACTCTCTTTTGGATAGAGATCCCCTTTTCAGGGGGAGACCCAGATAAGAGAAAGGGAGGGTACCGACTGCACAGTTGAGGGTATCAGCCAGGAAATTGCCTTTATGAGGGGTTTTCCCAAGATAGTACAGATTGGATTTCTGAGGGTTAGCACAAAGCCCTGAAATGCTGGCAAAAATTGAAAGAATGGATTTGAGAGTAACCATATCAGAGGAGTTAGCCCTGGAGAAGATCAGGGTGTCGTCCGCAAATTGAATAGATCTGATGGAATTGAGTTTACCTTTCAATTTGAGATCGGAAAGGTCACCTGCATCTGCACTGCATTTAAGCATCCTACTGAGGACATCCGTCACAAGCAGGAAGAGGAGAGGGGAGAGGGGGTCTCCTTGCTTGAGACCCCTGAAGCATTTGAAGAAAGAGGTTGGGGAGCCATTGACCAATACGGCAGATTTAGAGGATGAAATGATATGGTGAATCCAGGAACACCATTTGGGGCCAAAGCCTCTGGCTTCAAGAAGGGAAAGGAGAAAGGACCAGTCGACACAGTCAAAAGCCTTATAAAAATCAACTTTAATGGCACACACCTCTTTTTTCCCAGAAGAACAGAAATTTATCATTTCGTGGCCTAACAGAAAAGAATCCAGGGAGGATTTACCTTCTTGAAAGGCAGATTGAGAGTTGTCTATAAGCAAGTGGAGAACTTTTCTAAGCCTATTAGACAGGACTTTAGAAAATATCTTACATGAGCTGTTGATCAAGCTTATGGGCCGGAAATCTTTGGGGGAAATAGCATCTGCCTTTTTGGGGATGAGGCAGATATGGGAGTAGTTGATGTTTTGGAGAGACTGGGGGTGAGAGTATAGACCTTGAATGAAGTCGAAGACATCAGATTTAATAACTGGCCAAAACTTTTGATAAAAGAGAATAGGAAGGCCATCTGGTCCTGGGGATTTGTCAGGGTGAAGGCCAAAAACTGCTTCAGTGATTTCTTGTTGGGAGAAGGGGAGATCGAGGGAGGCTAAGTCTAGGAGGCCTGAAGGGTATAAGAGATTCCAGTTGGGTCTCAAGCTAGAGGCAGGTGGTTTGCTGTATAGATTAGAAAAAAAGGAAAGGAAAGATAGCTTAATATCACTATCAGAGGAGATGATTGAATCATTTATAATGAGATGGGGAATAAAATTTTTTCTGCGGTGATAGGAGGCCACTTTGTGAAAGAAGGCTGAGTTGTTATCCCCTTCTTTAAGCCACTGAATACGGGACCTTTGTTTCCATTTTATCTCTTCAGCGTTAGCGAGAGAGAGGACCTGATCCTTTAAATCAGATCTAAGATGGAGCTCTGAAGAGGAAAGGTCCCTCGATTCTTCGGAGACATCAAGAGAGTGAATTTGGGACATGAGATCAGAGAGATGATGGGGGAGGGATCTGAAGCAAAACCTTTTCCACCATTTGATTCTCCTCTTAATGAGTTTTAGCTTGGCATGAAGGGACATGGTCTGTTCCCCTCTAGGAGAGAAGGAAGCCTAACTGGCTTCAATGAAGGAAAGGAAAGAGGGGATTGATAACCACATTTTTTCGAGTCTGAAGAGAGGAGGGACAACAGGAGAGTTGGTATCCAACAAGACTGGACAGTGATCTGAACATTGAGCTGGATAAGCAAACTGGACCATTTGAGGAAATTTAGTTTCAAAGTCCAAGGAAACTAAGAATCTATCGAATCTAGCTAAGGATGGGGGGGATCTAAGGTTAGACCAGGTGAATTTCCTCCCACTGAGGGGGAGGTCTATCAGATGAACCGAGTCAATGAGGCGCTGAAAAACTTTAATATCTCTAAGGGAGCTGGAACGACCACTTCTTTCCTCTGAACTCAAGGTCATGTTGAAGTCACCAAAAACAACCCATGGCAAAGCATGAGAACTTCTAATCCTCTTGATTTCCCACCAGCAAACTTCCCTATCAGATGGATCACAAGGGGCGTAGATGGAAGTAGCTACGAAGCTCCAATTTGAAGGTTTATGAGTGAGGGTAGCCGTAACAGAGAAAATGTCTGAGGACGAGGAGGAGCAGGAAAAGATGTCATCGTTCCATCCTAGGAGAACACCCCCCCCTCGAGTCTGATGCATCAAGAGATAACCAAGAAGTAATAGAGTTTCCCCCTAAGGATTTAAGGAAAGAGGGGTTGGAGGCTGATATTTTTGATTCCTGAAGACCGACCAGGTTTACTTTGGCAAGGGCAAGACACTCCCTGACCAACCTACGTTTAGCAGGGTCGTTTAACCCGCGAACATTCCAAGATCCTATACGCATGGATAAACAGAAGAAGACAACTTAGAGAAATGAGGAGGGAGGGGGCTCAGAGGGGAAGGTCCCCTAAAGACATCCTATTCTGGATCTCCTTCAAACCAGACTTATCTACTGGAGCTAGAATGCCACAGTTCACTGAGATCTCTTCCAAAGAGTCCAGGTCCGGTGGGGGAATGGGAGGAGTGGAAACAGAGGAAGAGGAGTATGGTTTAGATTCTCTACCTTGAGATGGCGCTCCAAGCTCTCCACCAGATCTGGATAGGAGGGCTTTCCAGACTTGATCTGAAGGTGCGCAAATCTCGAGAACTCAACCAGACTCGAACTAACAGAAGGGGGGAGAGAGACTTTTGGGAGGAAAAGAGGAGGGGGAGGTGGTGGGGGTATCTGAGGGGGGAGGCTGAGTAAAGGAGGCTGCTTTTTGTTAGGGCAACTAACTGAGGTATGCCCTACAAGGTTGCAGGCAAAGCATTTGAAGTCTCCAAGAGAGCATTTGTTGGCCATGTGATCAGATCTACCACAAAGGAAGCACCTTGGGATCTTGGGGGGGTAGAGAGGCTTTGAGAGAGAGGAAGGTGATCTCGGTCTCTTAAATCTCTTTTTGTATGAAACTGTAGTCCAGCCCAACTCAGGAGTAGGTAGAAGGCCTTTCGTAAGAGGTGGAGAGGTAGAAGAGGGGGGGGGGGGGGGGGCGTGGGCAAGATCTCGGCAAAGGATGGTTTTGGGGTTTTGATTTGAGGGTTATGAAGGGTTAGGGGACGGGATTGAAAGGAGGATTTTTTGTGGTGGGTTACGTTTGGAGGAGGAGCTAGGTTAGGGTATGGAGACGAAGAGGAGGGGAAGAGAGGTGAAATGGTGATCTTACCGCCATTAATTGAAACTAGGCGCCGCTTAGGGAAACTCACCACCGCCTGCGCCCTGTCGCCTCACTTGTCGCCTCGCCTGTCCATTTCTCGATTTACTTACAAAAATGATTCAATTATTGCTTCATTGCCCAACAAAAACATCTACATCATCATGGCAATGTTAGATAAACTAATTGTAGATAGAAGTGTTGGTGTATGTTAAATTTCTATAATCAAGGAGATGGAAAGAATTTCTTGATGACCAGAGGAACTCGGACCAGGCGCAAAAAAAAAGGAAGAAGAAGAAGACTACTAATGGTCAAGGAGATCGAAAGAATTTCTCAATTATGAGATATTGTCGCTTAACTTTTATGTTATTATTTTTTAATTTTCTCTTTCCTTTCAATTTCTTCATGTGTTACTTTCTCCAATGTTTTGTAGTTGCAAAATGATTCAATTATTGTTTCCTTGTCCAACAAAAACATCTGCATCATCATGTTCTATTCGACACTTTTCTTTTGCATACTCATTTCTATTCCTCTCTTTTCATTTGCATATTCATTTGGGTTGTATTTACTTTAGGTGGTGATG